GGGGGGGGGGGGGGGGGAGCCTCTGTGTGTGCGCCTGTGTCCCCGTCTCTATTGAATCTGCAGAGGAGGTTGTCTCCTCTATACCATTCTTAGAATGTCCTTCCATAGTTGGAACTTTGTTGATGTAGAGGAAAATGTGTTTGTATCTAGCATCTAAATTTATAAAAATCTACAGTTCTCTGCTGCAGGAAGATGAGTATCACAGACTGGCTAATGCTACTATCCATGACTTGCTAGAGAAGTTGGAGGTATCCTGATGTATTTTGATATACTTAGTTCAAGTATTTCCTTTATTTGTATTTATATTTTAGTTAGGCTTCCCCGTATATGTACCTTTATCTTAATGGCTGCACTTTGATATTGAATGTGATTGCTGATGCTTATTTTGTCAGTCTAATTGTTGAGTTTGTTTGTCATTATGGATTCTTAACTTATAGGACAAGATTGATATTTGTGGATTGTAGGCAGTAGGCACTACATTTGAAAGCTTTAATGGCCATCAGCTGGCATTCTGAAACTTCCACGTGCAAATTTATGTTTAAGAGGGTCTTAGGGAACATTTCTGATTTGGGGCATGGGCCAGTATCTTAAACCTACATTTGTGTTTCCTGGTTATCTGTAGTTTTTGTCTCAAATTTGGTTTTTGATACATTTTAGATCGTTATGTACTGTAATTTGACGTCAAATCTTCTTTTTCTGTTTTTAAAAGTTTAGATAGTATCAGGAACATCTCTTAAATCTAATGCATTTTAAGTACGGGGCTTCACAAAACTTAAAAGTATAATGGACTTTTAACTGTCATGGGTGGGGCTAGAAGTTTCATCTTGGGGGGCTGCAAAAAAAGGTAACAATTTTTTTTTTTTTTTTTTGAGAATGGTAACAGTAAATACAAAAAGGTTACAATTGGTTTACTATAAACTGGCACCAACTTCAAATATAATATCAGTAATTTGTGCTGAATTCACAACCGGTAATTAAAAACTTTAGATTGGATTCCTCTTTACCTTCAGTATAAAAAAGATACCACAGAGAGCTTATCTCTTGTGCATGGGCTATTTATCAATACCAATGCCTAAGTTGACTTTTGGAGGCCTAAACAAAGAAAAGATGCGGTTAAATTTTGAAAGGTGTTTCTAACATTGAAATCCATCTTTGTTAAGTTGACCAAGTGAACTCAGCTTTCGAGTGTAAATCAGATTGAACTCCACTAATAACAGAACTCTCTATGCATGTCATTTGGATTGAATTTCCCAAGTGGCTGGTTGAAGATGCTTATTTTTTCTTTGGGGTGTTGAGGAGCACGTTGCTCCAAACATGGGTTATGCATCTGTGGAGAGGCTATGGCTCCATCCAGCTCCGCTTCCTTCCTTCTCTTGTTAAAATTGTTCATCAATCTCCTAATGTCAAAATTGAGTTGGGTCATATTGTACGTATGATAGCATTCTGCATTATTTGGTTGTTTGTTAACAGTTATCTCTTGTTCTACTTGACAGGAATATGGAGACTCAGTTGATATTGATGGTTTCGATGTGGATTATGGGGTGAGAAGGATAAAATTCATTAAAATGTATTTCTTTCGATTTCCTGTATTTGTCTTGATGGTTTGCNTCCCCCCGTGATTGCTTTCCGTGTATTGTTGGTGGACTATACAAAAAATCAACCTGCTCCACAATGTAGACAAATATCCATCCCCTGTGCCACCTACATCAATCGTTTCTTTGTGCTCTCCTTTTGTCAATTTGGAAACACGTCTTATACATCCTGTACAGTATTATATACCACTTTAGCATGCTCAGGGAAAAAGAATCTGTGATGCAAAGTCAACGTTAATGGAACTCTGTGATGCAAAGTCAACGTTAATGGAACAACCATGAGTAGTCCAATATTTACACACACATTATTTTGGAGCAGCAAGCGATCATTGTAGTACCAGTGTATGGGTCTTAGGAGCATGTATAGGCTCATCTCGAAAGAGCGTGCGGATCATGGAGGGGCTTTCCCTGTACTCTCCCTGGATATGGTCGAAATGAAATCGGATTCCCAGTGTTCCACATTCTTCATTAAAGACTGCATATGGCCGTAGGATGTTGCAGTTGTGAAACTAATGGTTGGTCGCGAAGAACGTTAGAATTACCTAAATATGAATTCTTACCAAAATTTGAAGATTGTCTTTAACTTTTCGTGAAAACTACCACTAGGTTGTGATTGTCAAACAGCATGTTGATTGCATCTAAATATTATACTCTTAGAAATAGTTCTAGAACTGGATTCTTGAGGAGAAATTCAAAACCTTTATTTTGTTTGAGACACTGCACTAACATCTTGACTGGATTTGCTGGTTTAACCAATGCGGCTGGTTGTCCATTGTGAGTTCCTCCACAGGTACTTTAAACTTGTGATATAGCTAACTAAACCCAGTGTCCTCATTTCAATCTGATTTCACGATTTAGCATTTCCATCAGCATCTAGGCTTCATAACATTCCCTTATTGATTGATCTTAGTATTATTCTTCATGTAATTTTCCAGTTCTCTACTTGTGCTAAAAGCATCAACTGAGTACAAGCAGTTGTCTCTTTCATGTAGAGCTTGACCTCTTCTGAATTCTTTAACTGATTGATATTCGAAGTAAGATCGAAGTGCTTTTCTTTTGATGAAGCGTTTGTTCATTACCACATTTCCCTAGTTTATTAACCAAAAGAAGTACGAGTCACCCTGGCAGTGGGTTCTAGCTGATGGAAGAAAAGTGAAGGAACTGTTTGATACTTGTTTTCGTAAAGGGTCGACTGTTTTGCTATTTCTGTATTTTTCATTTTCTTTTAATAATTCTGATTCAGGTGTAGAAAGTGAAGCTAAAGGGACTCCAAAACAAAAAAGGTTTTACGTACTGTCTAAATTTTCCTAGTTTTATTAACCAAAAATAGTACGAGTCTACCTGGCAGTGGGCGCTGCATATTTGTAGCAGTATCACTTCTATGCATTGTGATTTTTTAATTGTCTTTGAGCTTTTACTGATGAAGTCGGCATACCATACTATAATCATTTGCTCTTTCTGATTTGTGTTAAAAGTTTGGGTGTTCAGATATGCACCCATCCATTCTCCGGTGTGTTCTTCATGAAACATTTTTTTTTTTGCAGCGGCCCGTCAAGGTTTGACTGGGACCAGAACTCTCAAGGTTGGATCTATAGGCGAACCAAGGCTAGCCTGCGAACTGTTTTGGAAGACGAATTAGAAAAACTATGCGGAAGCGCCATTAATCTTTCTTGAATCATTGCAGATTCTTTTATGTTTAATGTACTCTTTCTAGTAGGATTTACATGTCTTGAATAATAAGCTCTTTTCCCCATACCTATAGCTCCTACAATCATTCTCTTGTAAGTTGTAAATCTTTGCTTTTTAACTATTAATATGGTATGATTTTTGGAGAATGGCAAAAACGATTTTATGGTTGCTTGGGACATTATGGAGCTAGATTGTAAAATAGCTACACTCGTGAAAAGCTACGGATCTTATAAAATAAGCTCGCAAAATGATATTTGGATCAATTCACCTATTGCCTTACGATTTTGGGTTAGATGCTAAGATTTTTTCATATGATATTAGATAAATTTTGGTGAGCCTACTTTCCCGATTGATCTACAGCAACAATAATTCAGTAAAATCTTACCAGTGGGGTCTGGGGAGGATAGACTGTATGCAGACCTTATCCCTACTCAGAGGGGTAGGGAAGCTATTTTCGGGAGACCCTCGGCTCAGAAACAATAGATTTGTGACAACAAAACTCAAAAAATAATATCAGCAATATGAGAGACAGCAAATAAATGGAAAAGCAGCAATACAATTATTGTGCAAAAGTGTGAAACACAACATAAATCGCTAGCACTGCTAGACAAAACACTATCATACTCATCGGAATTGCTAGACAAAACAATATCATACTCATCGGTACAAAGAGGGAAATCGGGGCAAAGAGGAAAACCGCTCGACTACCCTTTAACCAACAACCCTAATGCTTGACCTCCACACCTTCCTATCAAGAGTCATCTTCTCAGAAATCTGGAGCCGCGCCATGTCCTGTCTGATCACCTCGCCCCAATACTTCTTGGGCCGCCCTCTACCTCTTCCCGTACCTGTCAGAGCCAACACCTCCTAACCATAGCATCTAGGCTTCTCCTCTGCACATGTCCGAACCATCTAAGTCGCACCTCCCGCATCTTGTCGTCACCGGAGCCACGCTCCCCCCTCCCCCTCGAATATCTTCATTCCTAATCTTATTTAGCCTAGAGTGCCCACACTTCCATCTCAACATCCTTATTTCTGCTACTTTCATCTTCTGGATATGTGAATTCTTGACTGGCCAACACTCAGCCCATACAATATGGCTGGTCTAACCCCGCTATATAGAACTTATTGATCTATCTTTTCAAAATCTGTTACTCTCGGGTTTTTTTATCGGCCGTGTGTAGTTTTTCCACAGAAGTTTGAAATGTTTTGAATCAATTTACTCATTGTCTTAAGGTATTCAATGATATTTCACAGAAAATTGCATTTTTAATAAGGAGTTCTTATTTGGCATAACATGTGTCAACTTTATTCACCATATATATGCAGAGATAAATATATTTGAAACAAATTAAATATTCACATCAATCGCTATACAATGTGTCAACTTCACCAAAAAGAAAACCGTTTCAGTGTTGACTCTCTGACAGAAGCGGATCCAAACTTTTAAGCTTATAGGTTTCTATAATAATCTCGAGTTAATCTACGTGATAATTGGACCAACGAACTGGGTTCCAAACCAAATATTCTTATATTTTTAATGAATTTTTTAGCATAAATACATGATCTATGCAAAAGTTACTAGGTTCACGGGAACTCGTACCGTTTGCTTTATATCCGCCCCAGCTCTGTAAGAGAAGTATCTTGTGGTTATGTCCTTCTCCCAGGGCTATAGCATAAATGCTTTAAGCTTTAGAATCAATTCCTATGTACAGGTTATTGGCATTGCATAGAGAGAACTCTTTTGCTTTCCCACCTTTTCCACATTTTTCTTGGATAAAAATGGTAAAGTAGGTTCAAAATTAAGTTGCAATGAAATGAATTATAATTTCAGTTGTCTCTTGACTATTGCCGTCAATTGAACGTTCAATATTCTCGGGTATCTCACATCGATTGAGGGAATAAGTTATTGTATCCATATATGATATTGAGCAATTTTTACATTATGAGCTAGCTTTTAGGGTTGTTTTAAACTTATATTTCAGAGTTATTGTTGTTTGACCCAAAAGATATTGAAACCTTTTTGATTAAATCAATTAATGAAGATGAAGAGGTAAATCTCAACTAAGTATAATAAAATCTAGATTAAATTGTGTAAGAGACAGACAAGGTGAACGATACTTCCCACTATGTCGGAACCAAATGATTATTCATAAATGCGAGAATTTCAAATGTAAGAGAATATAACAATGAATGCAATTAGTCGAGACCAAGGATGATGTAAGGATTTTTGATCTGTAATAAGCAAAGTTGTTCCTGATTTTTCTCCCCCTTTTACATAATGCTCTCCCTCTCTTTTTATAGGGGACAATCCCCCTTTTTACCCTAGAAAAGGTACAATACAAGGAATATTCGAAAGGCATATTCTCATTGTTCCCTATCATGCTAACACTACTACAGACGTCGTGTATTCTCTAGCCATTGTTAGTTGTCGCCCTTCATAACGATCGCAGGGCGCTGCATCGTAAGGACCTCGTTCTTTGCTACACTCGTTAACGGTCGTGGTCATCCAAATTTCGACCAATACAGTTAGTCCCTCCGTTTGTTGAGGTCACGGCCTGGGGCGTCCTTGATAAGCGGACGTCACCCGTACTTAGATCTGCAAACCATAACGATTTTGGCCGATGACGGAAGACCGGTGCACTTCGCTATACCCTGGGCGGTGTGTTCTATTTGGGAAATGACATCACTTCCACATGCGTCATCATTGTGCATCTTCCCGAGGTAGAGATTGATGGCATGTCGCTTTGGTTTCGCTCCCATGGGAAGTCTTTCGCTTCGATTCTGGTGCCACCCAATCCTATAAATAAGGGAAGGGTTTGTTTTTTCAAAAACTATTGGCCATTTCTCTTCTGATCATGCCCTTTCGTGTTTTTAGCTTTGCTTCTGCGATTTCTTCATTTCCTCTTTCCTGTTCATTGTTCTTGGTCTTTTTCGTTCATTAACACATCTTCCTCCATAGACATGCCTAGAACACACCTATCACGTGAGGGGATTTCTGACGCCACTTAGTTATCCGTGGCACTTCCTACTGGTGGTGAGGACGCGACGGCTGGGGAAAAGGATAGTTTTCCCACTGTAGACGAGTTGTTACCGAGACACCCCATGTCTCGAAGTGACTTTCTTAAGGACCCTGCTCCTACTCCCACCCCGGTAATATCTGAAACCGAGCAGGCCCATATAAATGCCTTACGTACCAAGTATAGCATTTCCCCTCACATCGAGATGGTTCCGGCAGGGAGGGACCTCGTGGAGGTCCATAGGTTTGGGTACTGTGCTTTTTATAAATACCCTTTTGTAATTGGTCATTCCTTCTCCCTTCTTCCGTTAGCGGAAAAATTATGTCCGTTTTATCGAGTTTGCCCAGTACAGCTCTCTCCGTACACGTATAAAATAATTTTTGTGTTGACAAAATATGCAAAGTTGGCAGGATGCGAAGTCAATATTTACCATCTCTTGCACTTGTTTTCCCCTAATTTTCACAGAGGTACTATGGTATACGAGGCACCGTGGAACCAAAGGGCTGGTGGTCGGAACTTACGACCGGGCGAGCCGTAAGTTTTGGCATAAGTATTTCTTTGTCATAACTGAATATATTATGTCGGACCCCGCTGGATTCCCGGAGCGGTGGAATAATAATCGTAGGTGTCGTAACTTTTTTACTCTTTTTTTTTGTTTTCTGTTCGACTTAGTACTTATCTGCGACTTTCTTTTGCAGTTGTGGGGCGTACACCCCATCCTATTGCCGGTATAAAGGACTAGGTATCCCGTTTACTGGTTTACACAGTGGAGACTCGGGACTTTCCCGCTTTCATGAAATGTTTTGGGTCGAAGGTCTCGTCTGGTAAGTGTTTTCCTCTACACCGCTTTTCAAATGTTTGCCATTATCTATTGATACGACTTTTTATGAGGACAGGTCATGGAGCTTCTAGGCGGAGGGACCCTGTTCCTGTATTTCCCCAAGCCGTTGCCTCGGCGGGGATGCAATTCGCTTTAGAGGAGTCTGTCCGAGAGGGTCGTGCTCCACCAGTACAGGTGAGAGATTCCTCTCTGGATATGTTAGTGAGGGAGGAGATTTCTTCTTTACCGGCCTATCACCTCTTGGACGAGTCTTCTAATAGGGACGAACCTTTGCTGAGAAAAAAGAGGAGGGTAGAGCTCAGGAAAGACATGGACGTTGAGACTGATAAGAGTAGGACGGGTGAGTCGGGGACGACACCTGTACCTATATTTATGGTGGACGTTATCTTGGCGGGGAGGTCTCCTCGGACGGAAGGAGTTTACCAAGGAGGGGGGCATGTGCACTCCGCTGAGGGTGGCGCGTCATCTACTATTGGAGGGGGCTTACGTGTTAAGGATGACGGCTTAGGTTCGGACGTCGACCCAGGGGATGTTCGGGAGTTTAGAGAGCCATACTCGCGTAGAGTTAGAACGGAGGGTTCTGATCGACACATAGTCTTCCCCGGGGACTATGACTTGCTGTCAAACTGTGATCAGGTTCCATCCGTTTTTGCCCCTTTGTGTGCTGCTCCTAAGTGTGAGGCACTTAGAGAGATGAGTGATACAGAGTTGTCACAGAGCGTTTCTAGCATGGCTCTGCGGGTAAATGTCTTTCTTTTATTTTCCTCGTTGGATCTGTTTTACTATTTTTGGCCTATCATTTTGTTTTAACTTTACTTTTTGTGTTAGACCCTCATCATGGAGATCGAGCGTGAGTGTAGGGAAAGGAGGAGGACGACCGCCTATGGAAAGATGTCTTCCAAGTATCAAGAATATTGCACCAAGAATCGTGCGATGCCCGACATCTACAATCAGGATCGTGACTTCCAACTGTTCCGCGAAGGGCTTAAGCAGAAGGAGGATCAATTGGTACGTAAGGTCGAGGAGTTGAAGGAACGAGACGAGGACCTCATGAAGGTTGTTGCCCATAGTAGTGAGCTCGAGGCAGCCCTTAAGGTCAGGGAAGATGAGCTTGAGCTAAGTAGGGGAGTAGTGGCTGAAAATGCCGACCTCCAAGCAAAGGTGGCCAGTTTAACTGTCGAACTGGATATGAAGATGGCGGAGGTCGATGAGCTTAAGGGTGAATTGAGCGTCAATGCTGATAGATTGGCCCACGCCGAGAGGGAGAGGGCGACTGCCATCTCTGAGGCAACAGTTTTAGAATATGCC